TTGAGTTTGCGGCAAAGGGAAATTCTCCATAAGGTCTTTTATTAATAGCCTAGAAAAACTTCTTGTACTCAAAATCTTAGGTTAATAGATATCACAAGATCTTGAAAAAAACATCAAGAAGTCAAGACTTTAGATTCTTGAATTCAATTCACTCAAGATCTTGGTCACAGAAATTTCAGGATCTTCAGTGAATCCATTCAAGATGGTGCAAGAGCCTTAGTAAAAAATTTTCTTTACATTTTGTTTTTATTTATGACAGTCATAGCCATCGGATATACGACCATATAGAATCATAGGCTCTTTCTTAAAGCAGTATGCTCAAGGAAAAAAATTCGAAGTTATTCTAATTGTGAATATATTCGCAGCAAAAGCATGCAGCAAAAGCACACAATCAAAGATACAGTCTAAACGGCCAATAAACTGGCTATCAATTGACACTTAATCGGCAATTAACTGGTCGGTTTTTAAACTCCCGGGAAGAGTTATATAATTTTTAGAAAATTTTGATCAAATAATAAAACTGTTCATTTTATTTATTTGAAGTAGGCAAGGGACCTAGTAAATCGAAGATTTCTTTTAGAAAACATAACTCAGATAAACGGACAAATAAAGCTAGTGCCGTGGCTGGTACTGGAGTTGTGGCACTCACCCTTCGGACAAGCGTTTTTCTGACTACAATTTTAAATAAAACATAAGAAAAAAGCTATTTTCTACTGAAAAGAGAAGAACGATCGTAGGAAAGATCAATGAACTCTCCAATTCGGTAGATGTCACAAGTGCAGTTTGGAAAAGCGTTAGGTATCTACTGAAGACTTAGTTATTGGTGGTAGAAAATTTTCTATTGGATGTACGTTTCACCAGTTACTCGCAATCAGCAGTGAACTTGGTTTTTACCGTTTTATTTATCAAAGTTGTATTGAAAATTATTTATTATGGCGCTGACCTCGGTTTTTAACTCCGAAAAATTAACATCAGAGGTTTCATTTCTTGTTTTCGTCAAGACCATTTCTTCTTCTTCTGGTAGCATTGATCGACAGTGTTTCTAATGAGATTTGTGATCAAAATGCACTGAACCACTTTACTCTGAAGCCTAGAGCGGCACTGACCCCTTTGTGCTAAACTGCAAAGTGGTCTCGAATAAACTATCAGCAAGCAACGTTTACAAAACTGTTTTCTGCTTGCGTTCTAAAACATGGACCTTTCCAGTGTTTCTAGTAAGAACTGAGCGTACACAAACGTGGTGATTCATAGATTGTATCGTTCCCTCTTTTCATATTGGTTGAAGCAGAGCTTTTTAAATTCCAAAGCGTATGTACGCTTTGCTATTAGAAACACTGGACCTTTCTCACCCTGGGTTAATTTTTTTCTGCGCAGGTTATTGTGATCCGAGTAAAACAAAAGAAACGTTATGTCTTTTCTTGTTCTTTAAAACAAATGTAACAGAGATCGAATCAATAACAGTAAATCAAAACAAATACAATAAGGAAAAGAAAACCACACATAATATGTTTATTTTGATAATTCGGTTATTATTAACCACAAAAAAGAAAACTTCGAAGTACAGTTTTTCTAGAAAAGAGAGTAAAAACCAAACGAAGAAAAACACAAGAACGTTTATCGTGATAATGTTTAACTGTTTACTAAGTTACCTATTAAAATCGTTATGAAAACACTTCTTCTTCTTGATACATATCATAACAATCTCCATAAAACTATGTGGTTGTATCACCCGAAATGCCCAGTTTTATTCGATATGTGTTACATAACCACCTTGAACAACATTCTCCAGGATCAACCCATACATAGCAGGCAGGTTGATGACAGCACTGAATTACTTGTGCTTGGGTTGGGTCATCTGATGATAATGAAGTACCGCAAGAATTTGTGCAATTCACGGCTGTCGATTTTGTTTTTTTCGGTGCACTTGTAGATTCTTCGGATAAAAAAGATTTGTTGTCGTTTGTATTCTTCTTTTTCTATTGGGGCTAATTTGCTTTTGTGGCTCGTAATCATCTGGCACATCAATCAACAACTTTGTTCTTTCAATACGACGTTTATTCGCGGGATCACTCCAGGTTAAAAATGCTTCTTGAATGATTTTTTGACAACTTGTGCTAGAAACAGAAAAATAAGTCTTTTTACGTAAGTAACGGCGGTCTTTTACTTTCTAATATCATCGTCCAACAACAGGCTAACATGTAACAAAACATCTAGTGTTTCAATCATCAGACGAGCACAGTCATTCGTCTGAATACGATTTGACGCACTGTAACCACTCTTACATTCCACCGAGTTTAATGATTCAATTAAAGAAACTTGTAATGAAAGACGAATATGTTTATATCGTTCATGAAAAGGACGTGGGCCATTAAGGCCGTTTTCCCGCCCCAAAATTTTTCGGTCTTTTTGCACTGGAATGGTGTCAGGGCATGCGTAGGAACATTTTCTGACACTTAGTTTCGCGACAGCTCTCGGTCAGGTTTTCGAGGCCTGTGGCCCCCCTCAGGAGTTTTGAAAAACTTTGTATTTTCATTTTCAATTAAAAGCATCCAGACATATGT